CTTCTTTTCTTCTGTCTATTTAGAATTGGATTTCTTTATAATTTGCAGAGAAGCTTTCATTTTTTGGCTTCCACTATTTTATATCCCAAGGGTTTCCAATGTGGCAAGTGCTCTTCCAAAAGGGAGAGGTTAATAATGCTATTATCAACTCTTCTGCTTGTTATCATCACTTGGGATGTAGAAGAATTTTCACAGCTACATATGTCTCCAACATTATGCTTCTTTTCTCAGCAATACGAAAGAGAAACAATGATGTGGAGAAAGGGTTAAGCGAAGGTATGTTACTGTTACGGTTATTATTATTTCCATGGATGTTATTTTTTTCCAATAATTTTCATTTGTATTAACATTATATTTCTGTGGATGGTTTTATTAATATTTGTGCACATTGTCATGGAATCTTCAAACGAAGAGCTGTTATGATTTTTTCAATTTTATTTCAATAAGGTGAATAAAAATGCTTGGAGCAGGAAATATTTGACAATTCTGCAAATGGCAGCTCGAGTGAAAAGTATGCTGTGCTTCTGGATTAGTTACTATTAGTTGCTGGTTCTTATCTTTTTATTTCATGATATCTTTTCCCTCTTTCATTTGCTTGATTAACAAACTTGGAAATTGCTACCAAAAAAAGCAATTATTTTTCCTCCAGCAGTTCAGTATAGCATACTTACCTGTCCTCTTCTACTTGTGAAACAGATTAAGAGAAAAATAACAAGTTGCATGAAATAACTCAGCTTCATACCTCACTGAGGTTCAGAAGTTTAAACTGATGGAATTCTCAGTAATGTCCTTCCTGTCCTCGCTGGACAGACAGATGGACACATTGTGAAGTGTCCCTTTTGAATCATGGACTGTATGGTTTTTCTATGAGGGAAGAAGATGCAGAGTAAGAAAGCCTGGATTACATTGTGGTTTTGGATCAGCTTTGTTCCTCTGGATAACAGGATACTAACCTTGAAAGACAAATGAAGATGTTGATGGTGGTGGTGGTGGCAGCGGTGGCAGCCTAAGGCTTGGTCATCTCAGGGAGCACTTATGGTGTGTAGTTTCTACCTATCCTATACACTCCAGCAGATTTAGCACACTCCAGTCCCATCAATTATGTAGTGCCATCTGATGGGATTCAAGAAGTGGGCTTTCTCTGTGATTGTAATTGCCCTTTGTGAGATTATCCCTGGGATCACTTTGGCCCCTACTCTCATCTTATTTACTGTAAATCAGCCCTTAAAATCTGTGGGGCCTTGGGCTACAGTAAGAGACAGAGCCATTCTAAAAGCAGATTCTTAAACTTTAAGATGATTGTTATGTAAAAGTCACATTTATTACTTAACAACCAGAACGGTTTTTGTATTGCAGGACCTTTACTGGGAGAAAATCGTAAGTCTTTTACTGATGCATGTTTTTAATCTAATAGTTTGAAGTGACAATACTAGAAGCAAGAATCGGCTTGAAAGAGTCTGAATGCACAAAGACCTCGGTGAAAGTGAAGAGGTGTTTATCGACTCTCCTGTGATCCCTACACTTCCCAGTTAGAATACTGTAGCCCATTCTGATTCTCTTTGATTGTAGAAAGATTTGATTTTGCTTGATTCTTTTTTGGTATATAAATACTGAGTTTGAAGAGTACCTGCAAGATGGCTGATGGAATGGATTTTCATGTCCCCTCATCTCCTGGCAGCCCCTCATTGTCATTAATCTCCCTAAACCTCAACAGAGGATGAGGGGAATAGAGACTTATAGAGAAGCAAGCAAGGACAGGTACTGTTTTACAATGGGAAAACTGATCTTAATAATTGAGGGAGATGCTCTTTATATTTTGGGCCTAAGGGGAACCAAGGGCTGAAGCAGGAAGGTAATGAAGCAAGGTTAGGGTTAGGGTTAGGGTTAGGGTTAGGGTTAGGGTTAGGGTTTTTTATATGTCTGAGAGGGACTAAGTCATTCTGCATTTTCTGGTCTTTTTTGGAGAATGGGAGGGGTTCCTCTTTGGTAACTGTGTTGGGCCTTTGTACATTCTCTGTGTTTTCTTCCTCAAAATGGTGCAAAACTGAAAGTTAATTAGAGTTTTCAGGTATGTTCTTGGGGCACATGAAAGGAGATCATGGGTAGGGTTACTAGACTTCTGGCAGAAGGAGGTCATGTCCTCCTTTTTGTTCTTATGTCCTCCATCTGGCAGGCATAGCCTTAAAATCAAATACAGTTGGCTGTTTGAGTATCTAACAAGCTGCCTGTGCAGTTATTCTCCATAGTGCAGTGCATCTCTAATAAGTACTAAAAGCAGGTTAAGCAGCTCAGCTCTCTAACCTAAATTAGTTTAGTACCCTCTGGTCAGCTTGCCCTGCTGCCTGAAATTGCCAATACCTGGATCAGTTACACGCTGAAGGCTTTTGCCTCCTAACCAGCTCTAGCACATTCCTGTGACTGAAAATCCAGTCTTTCTGATGTTGGAAAAGGTAATTTTATATGCATGTAGGCTTAAGTACATTTGGGGGGGGGTGTTTCACTTTTTCACTGCAATTCTTGTCACAGATGGCAAGAAAGCTTAACAGTTAATGTGTCCTTCTTCTTCCCCCATTTTTCCTCCTTTTCAATTGTCCATGTCTTCCTCTGCCGGTTCAGATATTTGGTAACCCTAAACAGGAACAAGAAGCCATAGACCACTCACCCTTAATTTACATTGACTCAGGGTGTTCTAATTAATAATATAATAAAAACAGCTTCCAGAAGGATTTGTTTCCAGAGGAGGGGGCAGGGGATGTGTGGTCAGGAGGAGGCATCTAATTTGACCACCTCTGAGTTCTGCTTACTCTGACATGATGGCTGGAGTCAGGATTGGGTTAAGTGCTCCAAATGCATAAAAGTGTGAGGACCTTGGGAGCAACACAGCCATGAACCACCTTTAGTAATAATCAGAACAGCCCACCCAATCCTTACTTAGTTTTAATTGTAAAATCAGATGTTTGGCACAATGGGAAGGTTTCTTATCTGGAAATGCCCCAATATGTACAACACAGGCCACAATTTTCAAGTATTACTTTATTCTTCTGTCCATTGAAAAATACATTATGCTTTCATTTCAGAGCAACCAAAAGAAGAAAATGGTAAGTGTTACAAAATATGTTTTATCAAGCACCATAAATAGTTTAAAGGAACTCAAGTTCTGCATTCCATATGCACTCTTTAAAAAAAAAAAAAAAGAGCAAGTTTGATGTAGCTCTCATAGCATTTGATTAGCAGTTGGGGGACTTTGAGTTCTAGTTTGACTTAGGCACAAAAGCCAGCTGGGTGGTACTGGGCCATTTTTCATCTGTCAGCCCTAGCTGAGTTCCTTCTTTCCCTATTTGTGGTATTAAAATAGGTCCCACAGGAGATTCCTTGTCTTGGACTTTCTCCTGAGTCCTGTATATGTGTGGACTGGTGATATCTTCATTGCCTTACTTGGAGGGGGTGGAGCAAGACGGCCACAGTGTGACAGCATTTTTAGTGAGCTCCTAATCCTTCTATTTTAGGTATTTTTTAATATACTGTATAGTTTTAAGATAGTTTACTTTTATTTAATATCAATTAGTAATCTTAGTAATCTTAGTTTCTTTTATTAGGATTAGTAATTTTAGAATTTTGGAATTAGGATTAGATTTTGTTCAGTCGTTAAGTCGTGTCCGACTCTTCGTGACCCCATGAACCATATTGCGCCAGGCCTTCCTGTCCTTCACTGCCTCCCTGAGTTTGCTCAGTT